ACACCTATCCAACGAAGTCAGAATGGGACTCCTACCTTTAAGGCTCCTGGTAGCCTGTGCTGAGGATATCTGAGAGGCTATGCTCTGGGATGAAGATCACAGCTGATAACTACAGCATGACTGAACTTTTTAGAATGAGGGTAATTCTGTCCGCATAGGCAAGAGTACCTTTGCACAGAACAAGACAAGCCAGTGGAGCGCCTTCCCGCAAGAACTAAGGATAATACAAAACTCTACTACCTCACCTAAGCACGAGGTATGTTTCTCTGACCTTGTTTTCTTTTACATAAACCCACTGCACGTTTGGGCACACATCTCTGCGTTTGTGTTGAAATGCATCACGCAAACTTCTTTCCTAGAGAAAAACTGGCAACAGGCATATGGCAGACACCGGTCACTTTGCTTAGCACATTGCTGGGATCTACGCATCCGCTGTAACTCTAGAACTGACCAGGGCAGAAAGGAGCTCTACCGCTCCAAAGAGAAACGAGAGGGACATTTTGTCTTCATTTTGCTGCTGCTGTTTTTGTAATAAGGAATATACAGTAACCACTCAAACTGGGCTGTCTCCCAGTTTTGTTGATATTTAAATTTTAAGCCCCCCAAAATTTAGCACATTTAAAATCTTAGAAAAATATGTTAGGATTGCAAATCCCTGTGCCAGTCTTTTTACAGCTTTTTTTCAGATGTCGGCTCTGCTGCATCCAGAGTAAAGTTTCATGCAGTGTCTCTTTAGCCATGGTTTTACTACAGACCTGTACAGGCAGAATGCCAGCTTGTGCCTCTGCTGCTCTTCAGACACTGCTGAAAATTATCGATAAACTGAGAGGTAACTGCTGCTTTGTCTGGACTGGAAAGATTTTGTAGGCTGGTTATATCTCCAGCGTTCCTCAGACCAGTTTCAATACAGAAAAACATTCAGGCCAGAGTGATGGGAGACAATGACAGTCATTTGAAATGAGGTTTGGCAACAAATTTGCTGACAAATGCTTCAGGATAATGCTTGTGGAGGGAAGTACGCTATCAGAGATGTGACTTGTTAATTCAGTCTGAGGGAGGAAGGTTCACACCCGTCATTTATTGGAACCCATTACGGGACTTAATCTGAAGATTTTGACATACTTCCGAGACAAATATGCTACCAAGAGTAAGACATGTTCAATAAGGTGCGTGTACTAGGAAAAGAGGACTGTAATTGCTGTACTGGAAAAGCTTTTTGCCTTGTGCAGTTTAATAACCTTCTCCTAGCAGTGCCCCTTCTGACGCAAGGTGGTTCAGAGATGAATCATGCCAAGCAAATGGTGTCTTTATCATCGCATAACAGACTTGACCAAATGGTTAGTGCTTATTATTGGCAGACACCCTAAGATTTGAGCCCTACATGTATAAAACATTAGGAATTATGTCTCCTGTAAAGCTTGGGCCTCTTCACTGAACATCTCGGGGATGTTTATGGTTTCCTTCTTACTCTGCAGATCTTTGCAGAGGCCCAGATTTTTCAGCACAGGGTTTCTCTTTGCTTCTAACAATGAATTAGGCTGAAGTTCTTTCCACATAGCTCTGCTCTGCAGGACAGCTTATGATAGAAACAGTAAATCCAATGCTGTTTGTCCTTAGCTGGCACTCAACCAAGGCGTACATATTTAGCCTTGATAATATTTTCCTCGTGAAACAGTTTCCCGGGCCGTGTAATAATTTCTGTCACTCTTTTCTGACCTCTCTCCAACTCCTAATTTTTTCACCTGATATTGAGGCAGTAAAAGGAATTTGCTACCTTGGCTGCACCCCACACCATTAGGAAATAAACATGGAATGACAGAAGTACAAAGACACAGGCCACTGACTCTGCAGGGCAGTGACAACAAATGAAATATTTATTTACAAAAATATAGGGTGTAGAAATTAAATAGTATTTCAAAGATTTTAAAACCTGCAAAATACTGAAGAACACTCTACATGGAACATTTTTCCCCTGTTGTAATTTTTTTCTGAGGCACCATCATATGATAACTGAGCTTTAAAAAACAACAAACTCATCTTAAAATCAAAGCACCACTCTGAGTTCATTAATATCCTGGTATACCATTGCCTTGTACTTCATTTACAATATGAGCCACCATTCCTTATTTGAATAGATGCTTATGCATACAGACTCTCTAAGGTGTCAGTGTAGGTGCAGAGGAGTGCAGCATTTCATCCATATGATCATGCTTAATGATTATGACCCAAGACAGCAAGCGTTTTGGGCAAATCTTCTCAAATATGTTACTAGCTATACTCATATCTATAGACATATTTTTCAATGTCCAAGGTTATTTGTACTGCACCTTTAGGGCTCCAAGGAATCTTGGAGCTTCTGCCTACCAGCATATTTAATTGTTATAACAACAGCAGTACTTGATAACGAACTCCTGTTTGCCTAGACCACTTTTAAGTAAGGGGTTGCCTGAGAAGATTTGCTTCTTTTACAGTTTCAGTGTTGTAGCTGGTGCTTTTTTCAAGATGTGCTTCTTACAGATGCATCGAACTGAGTAGCTGGGTGACCGGTATTGTTACAGTCCGGCCTTAAAATCTGTGTGTCCATTTACTGGTCGTGAAGTGACAAAAACTTAGTCTTACTAAGGTAAGACATTCTCTAACCTAAGGTAAGAGGGATTTTATTTTTTTTATATATATATGGTGTATAGTCTGCTCTTCTGAACACCCAGTGCTAAAAACAAATACTACCACTAAGAGAAAGTACATGAAAACCGGAGTTTGCAAAAATTTAAAGCATCCTAAACTCTTAATCTGAAAAATCTGTAGCAGAGTGTAAAGCATAGTGATGTAGGACCTAAACTACTCATGCTAAGCAACAAGCCTGTGTAGTTTGGGTGGATACAGTATTTGTCATGTGAAGGATAACATCTCAGAGGAGACTGGTGGTGGAACATGCCATTTTGGACACGCAAAATAAAAGCAGAAGGAGGGTCCATGACCCACCCACCTATCTGGTGCCCTTTGGTGTCTGTGAAGGTTTGAGCCCATCCACCCCCTTCCCCAGGTATTATCTAGAGAAACTGTGAAGACTGAGAGCACCCTCCCATGAACATCCTCAGAGGGCATTTCTAGTGTAAAAAACCCATGTTCAAAATAGTATGTGGAAGCATCAAGTGTGCAAATGGTGTATCTTTAATAGGACATAACACATGTTCATCTTATTTTTTAAATTTGGCTGAATGAAAAGCCAACAAAAGATAATTTCAGGTTTTCATTCCTCCCCATGTTAAAAACCATCCTCCTTTTGGGTCTTGACCAACGTTTGAAAGCACGGCTCTTCTCTTAGGGCCACAAGCACTGTGCAGGTGGGACTTCAAATTCTTCTTCGCATCACGCAACCTACAGCAAATACAACATCAATTTATTTTTATCATTGCCATGTTCACTGTGGCTCCCAGAGGTGGAAGACAGCACCTAGCAGAGAACTCCCAGCCTGGGCTTTGCTGGGTTTGAGCTTTGGCAGGGGCACTTCCGTGCTTTGGCCGAGATGGCCCTTCTCAGCCTAGGGAAACGTGAGGGCACGTATGGGTGTGCGGGGGATGGTGGCCCCGAGATGGCGGCCCCGAGATGGCGTCCCTGAAGGCCCTAACAGCCCCTGCAGGAGGCCCTCAGGGTCTCGCGGGCTTTGCCAACCGCTGGAAGGAGCAGCAGCCCAGCGCCCGCGGACCTCCCCAGGCCTGAGGGAGCGGGGAAGCCCAGGCAGACCGCTCTGCTTTATTTATTTTTTTGTTCCTGTCGCTTGTTCAGTGGAAAAAGCCGGGCAGACGCCGCCCCTGTCGCCGGGGGGCC